AAATAAATAAATAAATAAATAAATAAATAAATAAATAAATAAATAAATAAATAAATAAATAAATAAATAAATAAATAAATAAATAAATAAATAAATAAATAAATAAATAAATAAATAAATAAATAAATAAATAAATAAATAAATAAATAAATAAATAAATAAATAAATAAATAAATAAATAAATAAATAAATAAATAAATAAATAAATAAATAAATAAATAAATAAATAAATAAATAAATAAATAAATAAATAAATAAATAAATAAATAAATAAATAAATAAATAAATAAATAAATAAATAAATAAATAAATAAATAAATAAATAAATAAATAAATAAACTCTTGAAATTCAACAATGAAAAAAATTACCATTTTAAAAGCGGCCAAAAGATACTTGAAAATTGCTAAGAGAGTAGATTTTGAAGTGTTCTCACCACACAAAAAAAGTATGTAAAGTGTTAGGTTTGAATCTACCAGGTATTAGGTTTGAATCTTGTAGGTTTTAGTCTCAAACCGGAGCAAAGAAAACCAGGAGCCAGGCAGTAAACTTAGGGTAGGCTTTAATGGGGGCACTCCCAGGCGAGGTTCCACAGCCCCACAAGGGAGTGAGGCTGGGGAAGTCGCACCCAGGCTGGATACAAGCGGTATTTATAGGGGAAGGCTGTTGGTGAGATTTTTGTCCATATATGGTAAGGAATTGAGCAGGGTTCAGTTTCCGGTTCCCCCCTTCAGAGAGGGAGTGGGGAGAGGGAAGGGGTGGAGTTTAACAAGATGGAGGGGAAGGGTGGAGTTAACAAGATGGAGGCACCCATCACTACTTTGTTGCTGCTTTCCGGTCCTCCCAATCCCACCGACCCAACAGAAAGTAATGCATGTGTTGATTGGCTTGATTTGGCAATTCCACAATGATGCATATTTCAAAATATCATATTTGTGCACTGTAAATATATACAATTTTTCCATCAATTTAAAGAATAATTAATTTTTAAAAATAAAATGGTCAAAAGATTTGTACAGATACTTCACCATAGAAGGTATACAGATTGCAAGTAAGTACATGAAAAGGTGCTCAACATCATTAATTATTAGGGAAATGAAAATTAAAGGGCCGGCCCATGGCTCACTCGGGAGAGTGCGGTGCTGATAACACCAAGGCCCCGGGTTCAGATTCCATATAGGGATAGCCGGTTAGCTTGCTGGCCGAGCGTGGTGCTGACAACACCAAGTCAAGGGTTAAGATCCCCTTACTGGTCATCTTTTTTTAAAAGATGATCCCTATACGGGATCCGAACCCATGACCTTGGTGTTATCAGTACCACACTCTCCCAAGTGAGCCACGCGCCGGCCCCTACACAGGTATTTACTGAAGAGAAATGAAAGCATGTACCAAGTACTTGTGAAGAGTATTCATAGCAGCTTTATTTGTAGTAGTTTAAAACTGGAAACAAACCAAATTCCATCAACATATGAATGGGAAAACAAATTGTGGCATATCTATGCAGTGGAACACTGCTCCACAATAGAAAGGGTTTAAGTACTGCAACAACTTGGGTGAATCTCAAACTAATTGTGTTGAGTCAAAGAAAGACAGAGTACATACTGTGTAATCCCTTTTATAAAACTCTAGAAAACGTAATCTATAGTGACAGAACAGATAGGTGGCTGCCTAGGATAAAGGAGGGCAGGGAAGGGCAGGAGAGGAAGATTATAAAGGGGTCCTTTATCGTTTTCAGAATGCAAAGGGATCCTGAGACCAGAATGTTTGAGAACCTCTGTCCATAGAGTCAGGAGTCTATAGACAGGCCTGTTGGACAGTACTCTGGTATGATATTGAAAGTGTTAGGAAATCGGGCCGGCCTGGTGGTGCACTGCTACAGTGCGCCGCTTGGGAGCGCAGTGGCGCTCCCGTCGAGGGTTCGGATCCCACATGCAGACCGGTTCCCGCTCACTGGCTGAGCGAGGTGTGGGAGCGACGCCGAGGGTTGCGATCCCGTTGCCGGTCCCGGTCCGGTACGGGTGCAACACTGAGGGTTGCGATCCGTTGCCAGACACGAAAAAAAGACAAAAATAAAAAAAGTGTTAGGAAATCATCTTTTTTCTTTATTTCCAATTATTATATCCTAGCATCTCAAGAGAAATTTCAACAATACATTGAATACTGATAAAACCATTGAACAAGGGGCCGGCCCGTGGCTCACTCGGTAGAGTGCGGTGCTGATAGCACCAAGGCCACGGGTTCAGATCCCATATACGGATGGCCGGTTCGCTCACTGGGTGAGTGTGGTGCTGACAACACCAAGTCAAGGGTTAAGATCCCCTTACCGGTCATCTTTTAAAAATAAAAAAAAAAAAAAAAAACCATTGAACAAGTACAGTATATAGATTCCATAAAGTGACTAAAGAACAACACTTAACAGACTCAGAATTTCAGCTAAAACAGGACTAATAGAGTAGTAAATGTAGAGTAGTAAATTGTTGGTTAAGTCTTAGCATGTTTATCGGAAACATGAATCTCATTACTTGTAGGTATGTCTGTGTATGAACTGTGGTCTTATCATTGTGAGCTATAAGAACCCTCACTTCAGTGGTTGGAAATGATTTGGTCCGAGATGACTCTTTGTAGAGGGATCGTGAGTGCTCATCGGGTGCCTCAGTGTCAGGCAGTGTGAGTCTGGCAAGCACAATGGAAGGTCAGAGTTTCTTTGGGAGGACTCAAGGAAAGCTTCCTGGAGGTGGTATCCTTTGAGAATTCTAATAGGTATAAATGAGAAGGAAAGGATCTCAGAGAAAGGAATCACTGAGAGCAAAGAAGAGGCTGTGGGAAGCTTCTGGATTGCTTAGGGAACAGCAAGCTATCTGGTAAATAGGGTGTGGGGGTTGGAAGAATTTGTTAGAGAGAAAAATAGAAAGGAAGATAGATTCTGAAGGGTCTTCCTGCCATAGTGAGAAGTTTTACATTTCATTCTTCAGTGTGGAGCAGGAGTTAAGAGAATTGGATAAGCATTTTAGGAAGATAATCCTGGTAGCATTGTAAGAGGCCCAGCTAGGGGAAGTTTAGAAGCAGGAACAGTTAAGAGGACTTAACATTTGACCTTGCCTAGTAATCAGAGGCAGACTTGATAGTACTTCTTCCTGGTTAGAGGAAAGGAAGAAACCTGCCTGGTGTTTGGGAGTTGGCAGTAGAGGAAGAATGGGTTTGGGGCCTAAATGTGGAGTGGACTTCTCGTTTTTTTAAGGATGTTTTTGATGAACAGATGCTTTTAATTTTAAGAGTCCAGTTTATCAATTTTTTATTTTAAAAAGGGGGACTCTTTCCATCTCTCATATTAATTATATTTTTTAAAATATCCTGTTTTATTTTATTTAAGACTTTTTCCTCTCTTCTTGTCTAGATATCATTGACCCTGCCATCCTTCGCCCAGGTCGGCTGGACAAAACACTGTTTGTGGGTTTGCCACCCCCAGCAGATCGTCTTGCCATCTTAAAAACTATCACAAAAGTGAGTAAAGGAAATGGTGTATTTTTGTGTATCTTTCTCTCCTTTTGCATAGAGACAAGTTATAACAGGTAGTGATTTAGGATGGCTTATTATTTTCTTTTCTGTAGCTTTAAATATCTGCCCAGCCTGTATCTCCCAAAGGGGAAGGTAAACTGCTTTTGATGATTGAAGAGACTGTCCACTCTCATTTATATTTGCTTAAAATAAAGGTAAATTTTGGGCCGGCCCGGTGGCGCACTGGATGGTGCGCCGCTTGGGAAGCGTGGCGGCGCTCCCGCCCGAGGGTTCGGATCCCACATACAGACCGGTTCCCGCTCACTGGCTGAGCGAGGCGCGGGAGCAACACCGAGGCTTGCGATCCCGTTGCCGGTCCCCGGTCCGGTGCGGGGGCAACACTGAGGGTTGCGATCCGTTGCCGGACACGGAAAAAAGACAAAAAAAAAA